TTTTAAATCTCTTTGAAAGGAATAGGGGGAAAAAATCAATGAATTTGTTTTCATTTCTGCTCTTCTTGTCCATAGGAGTTCTGGTGGCAAAAGTACATTTTAATGAATTTACCTGTGGGCTTGGTGATCCAAGTTGATAATCATTCTTATTCATAACAAAATTCAATTTTCTGTGTTGATTACTGTGAACACTGAACAGGCCCAGGTACATTAATTTTACTAGAGACAGGCTGAAATTGTCTCCCTCATGTCAACTGATGAGAAAATTCTCAGTCCTTTCTTCCAGCAAGGGCACATGTCATAATCAAGCTGCTAGCCTCACTTTAAGTAGTATAATAGTATAATTTTCATCTTAGATTATACAGGGAAAAAAGATATAGAAGGAAAGCAATTCCCAGATAATTACTTAATCACTCTAGTTATCATGAGGTCTTCCTGGAATCTTTATACATTCTAAAATTATTATGATTGTGTGATTAATAATCTTGTTACTCTGCATGTAAACATGAGTTCAGATCTTACTTTTCCACACTTTCCAGGCATGCTTGAAGTGTTGTGAAAAAGAACTAATCAATTTCTGTCTTCACAACCAGTATCTGAGGAATAAAGATAAATATGCAATAGCTTATGCAAATTTTACACACTAAATTAGAAATAACAGTAATTTAGGAAAACAAAGTCATGGATTCTAGTTTTTAAAAAGTGAAATATTTCTGAATTGTGATAAGTCCTACTTTAGGAACTTTTATCAAAATATTCTAAGGTTAGCAAGGCAGAGTTATCACTGTTGGTGAGTCTATTTTTAATAAATTATAAATAATACATAATATAGAACCTAACCTCTTTGGATTTCAGTGTCTTCATCTATAAACCTTAGTATACTTTACAATACTTCAAATTAATTTGTTATGACGCAGATATCTCTGCACATCAAGATTCAGCATTGACAGGTTTATTTTAAAAAATCTCAAGGATCAAATTGCTGTAGCATAATTTTAAAACTAAGGTTTTAAGAATTTAAATATACATCCTTGTAACTGTAAAGTTTCTCCTCAAGAAGATTTCTTTGAGTTTATAAAAAATAGATGATATTATTCTACCCAATACAGACTCAATAATCAATACTACTAAGGAAATTCTATAAATGAGGGGGTTCTTTTGTTTCCTTGCTTAAACAACACCTCAACCACAGAAATCATCAATGGGCTCTTTACAACTGCTAAATAAATTATTTACAGTGAAAATTCTTTTCATTTTTTCTGTTTTATAGTTATTCAATGCAAATACTCTATCCCAAAAGTATATTTTTCATTTTATTCTTATTTCTCATGAAAATATTAAATCTTATGTAACAAAAAAATTAAATGTTATTTTTAAAAAATAATCTCCAAAAGTGAATGCCTTTGCAGTGATAAAGGTGCTATATATATTCATTACTAAAACATAAAATTAGAAAATGGGATAACAGATTTGATCAATCTCTAAATTATGAACCTACACAGTAACCAATTTATATTTAATATATACATAAAAATTAAGCTATACAGATGTCAGGGATGTCATTGATATCTGCATGTTGAGGCTTAATTAACATACAGGTTTACTAAATTTCACTCCAGTCCTGGTTTCAGTCAATGAATGAGCAAAACAAACAGAGAGAAAAGAGGACTTGGTGACTCATGAATTTGTATTCTATGGAGCTGATGCTCCTCACAGTGACCACTAAAATTACATTAAAAATGACAAAGGGGGCCGGGCGCGGTGGCTCACGCCTGTAATGCCAGCACTTTGGGAGACCGAGGCGGGCGGATCACGAGGTCAGGAGATAGAGACCATCCTGGCTACCACGGTGAAACCCCGTCTCTACTAAAAATACTAGAAAATTAGCCGGGCGAGGTGGCGGGCACCTGTAGTCCCAGCTACTCGGGAGCCTGAGGCAGGAGAATGGCGTGAACCCGGGAGGCGGAGCTTGCAGTGAGCCGAGATCCCGCCACTGCACTCCAGCCTGGGCGACAGAGCAAGACTCCATCTCAAAAAAAAAAAAATTTAAAAAAATTTTTAAAAAAAGGATGTTTGATGATTGTCTAGATACATCTTTTCAAGCAGAGTTATCTTACTGATATTTAGGTGATAAATGACAAGGAAGCAAAGTGGCTATGTAGTTAATGAAGAAGACATTTGAATATGAGTATAAGCATAAATGCACTCAACCTCTCTGTTTTCCTCCAAAATATTTAGGAAAATTGAAAGTTTTTTTCTTAGGCAGTGAAAAATAACAATTTCTTAGGGGAAAAAACAACTTAACTGGGGACATTTTGTTCATGCAGGGGCACCCTCAGTGGTCCAACGGGAGTTACTCTTATTCCTTGACCAGCAGAGGCTAAGTACATTTTGTATGTCTTTATCATCCAGGGTGATGAGGTTTTTGATAAACCTAAATACTGTAGAACCTAAGTCACTCACTAATTGTGTAACTAAATGTAGAATTAGAGAATAAAGGAACAATAAAGAAGGATAAAATATTTTCTTCAGCATACTAGTGTTAGCTTTAATTTCCTCAGGACAAGGTTTCTTATTAGATCCACAAAATTTCTGGTCCAGAAACCTTATGATATGCAAGCTTCAAATGAATTGAGATTTATCTGTGGTTCAGTTAAAAAAATACTATACTCAGAAAACACATGAGAACTATTTGTCATGAAACATTCATAGCATTTATTTTATTCATTTGGCATATATTTATTTGCATGTCTTTTCAAAAATAAGTTGAGTTTCTTAAGGCAGTGAAAATGTTTTATTTATCTGTTTTCTAGACATCTACAGTGACTAGGAGGTGGCCATGAGATCAGTGAATCCAAGTATTCCTGCATAATTCTATTGTTTATGATTTAAAATTCTTAATATATTCAAAAAAAGCAATTTAAATTGTATGTATTCTCACATCCAAATACCAAATGTTGAAAGGCATACTCTATTTCTGTTTTGTGGTGTAGATCCTGTAGAATGTGTTTAATATGTGGGACATTTATCATACAGGATTTATATTTACCTGTTCAAAAAAAGGAGCAGTTTCCACGTTCTCCATGGGATTAGACCTGGGTCACAAAGTCCCCTAAGTGAATCAGCTGTAATGCTGTCATGTTGCTGTTTGAATTTTCCACCCTTTGGATTTGACAAATAAGATATTCAAAATAAAATTTCTAAATGACTTTAGTCCTTGCAGCAATATTGCACTCTTGTCATGTCTTTGGAAACAGCTAAAATTAAAAATCAATGAGACATTTATCTTCTTTGTTCTTCTTTCTTTGTGTTTATTCACAGAAGTTCTGAAAACAGAGAAAGCATAATAATATATAAATTATTTTTAATGAAATTTGGGTTTTGGTTTCAGTGTCCAATTAGAACTTTGTCTCATCTACAACAATCAAATGCCCTATCCTCGTCACAGTTGTACCACAGCAACTAGAAAAGTAACAGGCACATGGTAGGTGTTTGAGTAATATCTGTTCAATTAATCTCACATAGGGATGGGTTTAAATAATCTTATACTATGTCAAATGATAGTTAAATCCTCTATTCATCGAACCCCAGTAAGTTCTTAGCTTGTAGTATAAATTCTTATCTTTTTATTTATTTTTTTTTCGAGACAGTGTTTCACTTTGTCACCCAGGCTGGAGTACAGTGGCATGATCATCTCTCACTGCAGCCTCCACCTCCCAGGGCTCAGGTGATCTTCCCACCGCAGCGTCCCAGTGTAACTGAGACTACAGGCATGTGTCACCACTCCTGGCTAATTTTTGTATTTCTGTAGAGATGGGGTTTCACCGTGTTGCCCAGGCTGGTCTTGAACTCTGGAGCTCAAGAGTTCTGTCTGTCTCGGTCCCCAAAAGCACTGAGACTACAGGCATGAGCCACTGCACCTAGTCGAGTCCTTCACTTTTAATTCATATTTTATCAGTGAAGAATTTGGTTGTAGAAGGGAAAAATTACTGATCATGTGTCCTTATTACTTTGTCCAGGAAGCTTTGCCACAATTCTGATTATTTGTACATGTTTCAGTTGCAACACCTTTGCAAATAACATTCTCATAAATGTAAAATAAGGATGACTAGTATTAACTGGGGCTTCTTTACACCCAGATTCTTAGTGCTTTTTATGAGTGTAGTAAGAGAGAGTCAATGGATCATTATTCCTTATTGGGTTTGGGGAACAATATCAGTTCTTTATCATATATCTGCTGTAGCAGACTTTGGAAAACTTACAGATTAACTCAGAAATACCTTCTCACTATGTAGACAATAACAACAAACAGAGAAATGCATTCTAATTTTATAACATTGAATGTTTTTGCACTGACATTCACAAATCCTACTTGAGGGGACGGACCTTTCTTCATGGTATAGCTAAGCTCGACAGGATAATATCCATAAACATCAGAATACTGTCATGATTTATGTTCATACATAGTTTAAATAAAGAAGGTGTGGATTATAAAATTACCTGACAAATCTGGATCTCAACATTTTTTATGTAAAATTAAATATTCTGTATGATAATTTCAGCCTAAAGTTATATGGTTTGGATTTTTTGCTACATTGAGATTCATTGTTAATACTGGGACCATTAAAATAGTGAATGGAATTATATAAAACTAGTACTTCTGGGGTGTCAAGTGAATTGCTGCAGGACTATTTCTGATCTTGGTCACCTAGCAATTTATACCCATATTCTTGTAACTGTTAAAGTTTCTTAAAGAAACTGACTGCAAGAGAAATCAGCAGATGTAACTTTTGTGTGACAAAGCAGATTTTTCTAGTCACTATCTCTTTGAATATGGCACTATTCACCAAGCATGGAAATGTTCTTGCTCTTAATAAGCTTCAGTAGTCAAAACTATGCAGAAGAATTCTTTAAATGTAAGGGGTTTTTTTCCTTGTTTCAACAACAGCTGAGTCAGACAGATGATCTGTACACTGTTTTATAGCAAGAAATCATTTACAATGAAGATCCTTCTCTTTTTCTGTATTTTGCTTTTCTTTGCTGTCCTTATTCCACCAGGTAATATGAATATTATTGCTAGAGGGATCAAGGGGCCAGCATTAAAGTGGGGGAACTGGGATATTTAAAGTAGAATTTACATTATAAAATCATTTTATTAATACCATCACCATGTTACATTACATTTATTCACAGTTCTCAGGTAAAAATATGTGAATAATTTTTCAAACACAACATCCTAGAAAAGGCTGTAATTCACCTTAATTACATAAAAATATATATTCATATATATGCATATATGTAAATGATTAGAAGAAAATAATGCTACATTGATTTCATAGATTCATGAAATGCGCATTTATTCAACACTCAAATTTAACTGAATTTGATCTATTAATAGAGTAGAAAAAACTGGGAAAGTTATGAATTATGCTGGGAAATCATTGATCCCCACATTGATATTATTTATAGCAGAGGTTAATCAGATAAAATGCCTTCCTAAAAGTTTCAAATTGTATTATATTAACAATTGAGAAAAGCTGCACTTGTCTACTGCTCACTTCCACTTAAATTCTCCTTTTTCTTTATCTTGCTGCTTTCTCTGATTACCAAGCTGTCAGTATTGAGATCAGAGGAGGTAACCTTAAAATAAATCTGTAGTAATTCATTCATTTACTACTACTCTGCTCTAACATTTAAACATAAATAGCTTTTTAGCTGATAATTTCTCACCAAAAGGGAACAAGTAGATGAACTTCAATTAATAATGTAAACCAACAAGGCAGTTTATTTATATAAGAGAATAATTTTTCTTCTTCATAAAAGTTAGTTAAAGCATGCTTATTAGAATTCCCTCTGTATTTAGAACTTTTCTGAGATACAAAGAATTATACAGATTTCAATAAACACTGACAGATTTTCTTCTAAATAATGATTTTAATAGCTAGCATTTGTTCTGCATTTTGCCTGTATTGATTTATTTTTCCTAACAATAGCCATGCAAGGTGAACTTATTAATAGTCAAGTCATTTATTCATTTAACTGGATTTTTAAACATGTATACTATATGTTTATCATTTTGTGAAACCTTTTATAATCTATAGGACCATTAAATAGAGGCAGATACATTTGTGTCTTTATTTCTGAAAATATTTTTTTCTTCTACTTTTAAAGTAATTTTTTTTTTTTATTTTGCAGTTAGCTCTTACCAACCTGTTAGCACTCCTATGAAATTATTGACAACCATATGGAGACTGAAGCTTGAAAAAATGTACTCAAAGACAAATACGTCTTCCACAATATTTGAAAAAGCATGACATGGGACAGAGAAAATCAGCACAGGTAAAATAAAATAAGTACAATTGTGTCTTGCACATTTTAATCAATACTTTTCGACTGAAATGAAGTAAATATTCTGAGTATATTCTCTACCCCAGTCCCTGTTTACCTATATGTTCTTGTCTTTCACCTCATAGCTTTATGAAGGCTGAATTTCATGTTTAAAGCAAGAAAGAAATCTTATTTTAAGGTTGTAGAGGCTGAATTTTTTTTTTGGATGAAGTGCTGGCTAGGCAAATGCCCTTATCATTTCCATGAAGAAAGTTTCTCTAATCATTGTTTTCAGCAGCATTGTTACTTTTTTAAATGTTTTAATGCAATTGTACTTAGGAGTTACACTGTTGTCTCAGTTTCCGTCCTACCCAAGAGCTGGCAATTTGTTCTTTTCTTTTCTTTTCTTTTCTTTTTTTTGAGACAGAGTTTCACTCTTGTTGCCCAGGCTGGAGTGCAATGGCATGATCTCGGCCCACTGCAACCTCTGTCTCCCAGGTTCAAGCAATCCTCCTGCCTCAGCCTCCAGAGTAGCTGGGATTAAAGGCTCCCGCCACCATGCCTGGCTAATTTTTTGTATTTTTAGTAGAGACAGAGTTTCACCATGTTGGCAAGGCTGGTTGCGAACTCCTGACCTCAGGTGATCTATCCGCCTCAGCCTCCCAAAATGCTGGGATTACAAGTGTGAGCCACTGCGCCCGGCCAAGGCAAAACTATTTTTTATCAATCACCACTGTTCAAAATACTGACATTTTTGGATATAAAAAGTATATTGTTATATGAAAAGAATGATGAAGGTGTTCTGTTTATCTTAAAGCACAGTTTAATTAAGACAACTCAAAAAGGCAATTGAGCCAACAAAAGTCTAGACAAGGGACTGGGAACTTAGTTTTAAAATAATTCTTTTTGACTAAATTTCACTGGATATCAGCATGATGTTGGAATCGGACTTTTAAGTGCTCCATCCTTTACAGAATCATTAATTTGAACAATTATCCAAGCACGAAAATGCCTTCACAAGAGCTAAGGAAACCACGTGAGAGATCACAGCACTTAGGTAGATTACAGAAATAAGAAAAGATACATTAAAGAGGATAGGAAGGACAGTGTCACATTGCTCATGCCACCTCTCTCCCAAGCCTAGATAGCACAGCCTGGATACAGATACCCTCCCTGTGGAGGCCAGAGAGGGAAATGACCATAGAACTTAGCCTTGGACCCCAACACTGGATGGCCTTTCTAAGTAGAACCCAGCACCCAGCAGGCCCCCATGGCCTCAGACTTCAGACCAGTACCTGAAGACTGAGCTTCCAAGTCTGCTGTGGCACAAGGCCAGATCTGACAGCCTCTGGCTCTAGGTCAGCCCATCAAGTCTCGGCTCACGGCCCCTCCAGGCCTGCCCAGTAGCCCTAGTGCTAGTTCAACACCCACAGATTCAGGCTAGGCCCAATAATCACACTCATTTTCCAGAGTTTCTCTAGAGCTAGGCTGGCCCCAGTGTTCCTGGGCTCTGGATTTCCCCCCCAGCACCACGCTGAACCCCAGGCTTCAGGCTTGTCCAAGAACAAGGTGAGCTCCACAGCCATAGTCGTCAGGTAAGGACCTGTGGACTCAGCCCCGAGGCCGGCCTCTGTGGATACAGGCTCCAGCTTCACTCAGTACCTGACCAGCTCATGTAACCGCAGGTTCATCTTTATTCCAAATCTATGTTTTAGGATCCACAACCTTTAAAGGTTCTTCCCTCTTGTCCATTACATCACTTCAATGGCAAAATTCCCCTCAGTTCTTGTATATCAATTTAGTAGAGTCGTAGAGTAGAATAAAAAAATTGCTACATATATAACTAGCGAAGGGCTGAAATCTAGAATATATTTTAAAATTCTAATAAATAAATAAGAAAGTGATAGGTAATTCAGAAGAAATAGAAAAAAAGACCTAAGCCACTTGAAAGAGCGGATAAACAACATCCTTAAAGTGCTCATCATCACTTGCAATCAAGAAAATGCTAATTTAAACCATGATAAACTACCACCATACATTCAACCAAATATTTAAAATTTGAAATCTACCCAACAGAAGATTATTAAATATGCTTCAAGAAATAGTACAAGAATGTTAAGAGCAGCCATATTCTCCCTGTATCAAATAACCTATATGATCATCTAAAGATGATCATATATTAGATAAAGATATTAGATATTAGATAAAGAAAGTGAATGCTATATATTAATGAAAATCAGTGCTGCAAAACTACATCCAACCACAAAGCTGAATTATATGAATATAAATTTAAAAATCCAGAAACAAACAAACTGTATGATTCTCTGTCTCTCTAAGACACACACACACACACACACAGTGCTCCTCAATTTATAATGGCATTATGTCTTGTTAAAGACATTTTGAGTTGAAAATATCATCAGTTGAAAGTGAATTCGATACACCCTAACTGGCAGAACATCATAGCTTAGCTTACACTGGCTTAAACATGCTCAGAATACTTACATTAGCCTACAACTGGGCAAAATCATCTAACATAAAGAGAGTTTTATAATAAATTATTGAATATCTCATGGAATGTATTTGATAATGTACTGAAAGCAAAAAACAGCATTGTTGTATGTGTACTTATACTTTGATCGCCACTGAATGTATATGTTTTTTGCCCCATTCTGAGGATGAAAAATTGAGTCAAATTATTGTAATTCTGGAACTATCAGTATAAACAGTCATGTGCTGCAAAACAGTATTTCAGTCAATGTCAGACTGCATGTAGGACAGCGGTCCCATACTTATAATACCATACTTTTACTGTAGCTTTTCTATGTTTAGATTCATAAATACCATTATGTTACAGTTGCCTGAAGTATTCAGTCCAGTAACATGTACCAGTTTGCATTCCAGGAGCAATAGGCTATATCTTATATCCTAGGTATGTGATAGGCTGTACCATCTAGGTTTGTGTAAGTACAGTTTATGGTGTTTGCTCAAGGACAGAATCACCTAATGGCATATTTGTCAAAACCTATCCCTGTCCCTAAGTGACACCTGATTATATACATTTATTATGTATATTATGTACACATTTATTTGTGTGTGTACGTATATATATATTTGTGTGTATATCTAGATTTATACATATTTTATGTGTATACACATTCAAAAGCAGGCATAAAGAATGCATACTTAAGGAACACAAATATTAATATAAGGCAAAGTAAGAAAGTTAGTGTTTAATTCAGGATAGTGATTATTCTTAGGGGAGAGGGAGGGGGTTATGATGTGGTGAGAGGGTATGAAGCTTCTAGTAATATCTTGTTTCTTGATGTAGGTAGTAACCTCATGGCTATTTCATCTACAGTGCTACATTAAGCTCTGCATTTATATTTTGTGTTCCTTCTCTCAGAAGGAAATACCCCTTGTGATATGTTTCTTTGTGAACAGAACTATGCTGGGGTTATCTGATTATGAAATGTACCTTTCATATCTCAGGGTAAATATGGGCTTGAAAGATTATTATTACTATTATTCATATTACTATTACTATTTACAAATAAAATACAATTATTAGCAAAGATAACTGCATAAAGTGCTGGTTCCTAGGTGACTGAGTATACATCACTGCAAATCCAGAGTATGGTAAAAGGAATATCCTCTGATAGTGTAGTCTCAAAATCCTCAGTTATTTTAAATTATTGCTGCAAAATTTGTGGGTAATATTACTACTTTATATAAAATGATATATATGTATTTTATTTAAATACATGGACACAAAATTGGTTAATTATAGAATAAAAAGGTTTTTGAGATGAAAGCATACTTATAGACATCAGTGATAAGGACTTGCTCATTTTCATTCACCTTCTGAAATATGTCCAGCAATGCATGCTTGTATTGGTCCAGTAATGGTAGATATGTACTTTCTAAGACAGTCTCTTCCAGAATTTTTATTAAACTTTTTAATTAATTAAAAAAATTATTATATTGATTCAAAACCTGGCTCTCCAGTGTTATGCACCATTTATCTTTAGTTTTATCCTGTGGAGATACAGAGAATAAATGAATACCTGCAATGACAGATCAGAACTTCTGTTAGTGACAGAGAGACCTTCTATCTAGATACATACATCATTCCTTATAATTGTGGAAGTTACAAAGTCAAAGAAATTATGGTGTAAAGTGAGATTAGAGACATTTTTTAAAATTTTCTATAGCACTGGAAACTTCAGGATGAAAGAGAAAAATGGCAAAGTAAAAAGAGAAAATTATGAGCCTTGCTGAAATGTTCACTATGTCCTCAGCTTGTGGTTATTTACTATTTCCTTATTCTAATCACCCCAAAGTGTCTATTTTTTAAGCAAAATTTCTCTTGTGCTTGGCTCTAGGGTGCAGATCCAAGAGGAGATGAGATATTTCAGGAAAATAAAATTGTATCTTTCAGTATTTTAGAACTGCTCAAGTCAGGTTAAAAAGAACGATGGAGAAACAAGAAATGGGGAAAGGATTCCCTATTTAATAAATGGTGCTGGGAAAATTGGCTAGCCATAAGTAGAAAGCTGAAACTGGATCCTTTCCTTACTCCTTATACGAAAATTAATTCAAGATGGATTAGAGACTTAAATGTTAGACCTAATACCATAAAAACCCTAGAAGAAAACCTAGGTAGTACCATTCAGGACATAGGCATGGGCAAGGACTTCATGTCTAAAACACCAAAAGCAACAGCAGCAAAAGCCAAAATTGACAAATGGGATCTAATTAAACTAAAGAGCTTCTGCACAGCAAAAGAAACTACCATGAGAGTGAACAGGTAACCTACAGAATGGGAGAAAATTTTTGCAATCTACTCATCAGACAAAGGGCTAATATCCAGAACCTACAAAGAACTCAAACAAATTTACAAGAAAAAAACAAACAACCCCATCAAAAAATGGGCAAAGGATATGAACAGACATTTCTCAAAAGAAGATATTCATACAGCCAACAGACACATGAAAAAATGCTCATCATCACTGGCCATCAGAGAAATGCAAATCAAAACCACAATGAGATACCATCTCACACTAGTTAGAATGGCAATCATTAAAAAGTCAGGAAACAACAGGTGCTGGAGAGGATGTGGAGAAATAGGAACACTTTTACACTGTTGGTGGGACTGTAAACTAGTTCAACCATTGTGGAAAGCAGTGTGGCGATTCCTCAAGGATCTAGAACTAGATGTACCATATGACCCAGCCATCTGATTACTGGGTATATACCCAAAGAATTATAAATCATGCTGCTATAAAGACACATGCACACGTATGTTTATTGTGGCACTATTCACAATAGCAAAGACTTGGAATCAACCCAAAAGTCCATCAGTGACAGACTGGATTAAGAAAATGTGGCACATATACACCATGGAATACTATGCAGCCATAAAAAAGGATGAGTTTGTGTCCTTTGTAGGGACATGGATGCAGCTGGAAACCATCATTCTTAGCAAACTATCACAAGAACAGAAAACCAAACACTGCATGTTCTCACTTACAGGTGGGAACTGAACAATGAGATCACTTGGACTCGGGAAGGGGAACATCACCCACCGGGGCCTATAATGGGGAGGGGGGATGGGGGAGGGATTGCATTGGGAGTTATACCTGATGTAAATGACAAGTTGATGGGTGCTGTCGAGTTGATGGGTGCAGCACACCAACATGGCACAAGTATACATATGTAACAAACCTGCCCGTTATGCACATGTACCCTAGAACTTAAAGTATAATAATAAGAAAGAAAGAAAGAAAGAAAGAAAGAAAGAAAGAAAGAAAGAAAGAAAGAAAGAAAGAAAGAAAGAAAGAAAGAAAGGAATCTTAAAAAGGAAGAGAACATTTACCACAGAACAGTACTAAGAATGAATGATAAATGAGAGGATGGAGATCGTCCCACTCGTATCCAATGGTTCTAGTCAATGAGCAAGACAGACAGAGGAAGATTAATAAATTGCAAGCCCTTCAGAAATCCCTTATTGAGTCACTACAAAATTATTTAAAATGCATAGGAATGGAACCTCTCGTTTAGGAACTGTATACTTGTTGATTTCCTTGATCTGCTCTGATATGGACAAAAAAAAATTAAAGCAAATATCTATTTCCTTTATTTTTCCTCTGTTGTCTGTGATTACTTCCGTGTCTTCTTTTAAATCTTGGGAGTTCCCACCTAGATTACTAATTCCAGCTGTTCTTGCGTTCTTTCAGCCAGAAGTGAAGGGCACTATATCATCTTTAATAGGTGGAAGGCATGTATAGCGATTGGCGGTCGATGTAAAAATCAATGTGACGATAGTGAATTTAGGATTTCATACTGTGAAAGACCTACAACTCATTGCTGCGTGAGAGAATGTGACCCTATGGATCCAAATAATTGGATTCCAAAGGACTCAGTAGGGACTCAAGAATGGTACCCTAAAGACTCAAGTCATTGAAGAAATCTATCCACAAGAAGATGATACATCTTAACGAAGTCTTCTCATTATTTCATCACTTCATTAATGACCTATAATTTCTGTGCATGTATACCTATAATGAATATACAATTAAATAAAATATATTTCAGCCTGAAATATTTATAAACATTGTGCTTGCTTGGGAGAAAGAATCAGAATACAAAGCAGGGATTTGAACTCAGGAATAGAAGCAGCATGGAGAAGAAAATCCATGATGGGACCACTACGTTTAGTGAGATTCTGGGGCCAATTCCTTATTTAGTGTGAAAAGCATATTATGAGTCATTAGTGAAGTACTATCAAGAATTCTTTGAGGAGACTCAGGAGTGGGGACAGAGTTGATAAGAGCTGTGATCCCTGAACTAGTAAGAATTGTTGCAAGAAATTTGAAGGATTATGAAATCCTCATAACTTTCTCATATTGCTTATACTTCCGGTTATACTTTTTCTCTCTTTTTTGAAAGAATTATGAAAATAAAAATAACTGATTTTTTTCTCAAAAATAAGCTCAAAAGGTAGAATAGAGGGAGACTAGGTTGAGGAGGAAAAAGAAGTATGGTAAATCCCTATAGCTTGTGACAATAATAATAATAATGTGAAATTATGATTAATTTTTGCTTTGTTTTGCTTTGTTTCATGTTTTTAATGTTTCCACACGTTATTAGATGATTCTTATCATGCTACTTATTGGTGTCTTAGTAAATTTTAAGTTATTTAAAAATAATGTAACAGAATTATATATGTGTGTATGCATGCACACACAGTTGGTCCTATTACCTCACCTAGATTAAAAATTTTCCCTATTCAAACATTTTGAAACATCAACTCTAAAAATAGGTGATGGTTTTGCAGGGCTTGGTATGTGCTAAGTATTAATTAAACAATGTTCTCTAGTCTGTGTCCTTGGCTGGCAGGCTTGGTTATTATGTGACTTACAATCTGTGGACTAAGGCCTCATGAAGAAAAGGGAGCTAGTCACTTAAATTTTTGTGGTAGCAAGGTATTTAAGTTGAGGCTACTTGTACCTGGTAGGTTTCTTATGCTGCTGCGACACATACACATGTCAGCTTTGGGTTAATCTTATAGCCAAAGTATATCCTGTACACAGTACCTGGGCGCATAGGAAAATGCATCTGGGTGTCCAAATTATACATGATGTTCCTGATATGTATAATAGTATGCTGTCTGACCAGTGTCAATTTGGAGATAAATAACCCTATTTGCATCTTGTGATTTTGGTTTATGATTCAAACTCTGAACCCCACTTCAGGAGTCTCACAGTACACCATACTACAATTTAATGTATCTGTGGTAGGATAGATGAAAATTATGAATAAAGTTGCTATAATTTTATTAATGTGTGTATTCATTATTAATGGTTATATACCTAGAAGTAGAGAAGTTTCAACATAAACTATATTATTATCTTTTAAAGATATTGACAGCAAAAAAATGATTATGCCAATTTAAGTTCCCATAAGCAGTGTACTACAGTTCCAGCTGGTCCACCCTTTTTCCAATTTTAACCCTTCTGCAGTGTGTGTAAATGTGTATCATCTTGGTCTTTTGGTCTTAATTTCCTTTTTCCTCTCCATTAATGATGTTGATAACCTCTCCATAATTGATGTTGATACTGGCCATTAGATATGCTCTTTTGTGAATTTGTATTTGAGTCCTGGCGACTTTTTTTTTTTTTTTTTAAGTGATTGTATCTCTTTCCTATTGATTTGTAGGAGTTATAAAACATTAACTCATGATTTAAAAAAAAATCGGTAAAATAAGGACCGAGGAATCACTTTAAACTGATAATGCTTACCTATACCAAAAGCCAAATCAAACACCGTATTTTACAGTGGATTATTGAACACTTTCACCAAAGTTCAGAAATAAACCAAGATTTATCAGTACTTCCGTACAACATTATACTAGAGGACTGCACCAGTGCTTTAAGTTAAGAATAGGACAAATAATATAATCAGTGGAAAGGAGGTAACAAAGCTGTCATTATTTATATGTAACACGATTAGATACCTAAATTGTTTTAATATCTAGAAACTAATAGAATTAATATATTAATTATTAATATATTCAGCAAACTCACTAAATAAAGTCAATACAAAAAGTAAATTATATTTCTAGGTACTAGAATCAAATTGAAAACAAAATTTTAAAACATGACACATTTTAGATTATTAGATTTAAAAAAAAATCCAACAAAAATGGCATCTCGAGCTACAAAATATCGTGGATATAAATTACAGATATAAATAATTAAAGAGATATTATCTAAAACAGCCCATATTCAAATTGTCCTAGTTTTTCACTAATGTCTTTTATAGTTGTGAGGCTTTTACTCTACAGAAAGTGAGGGCAGCGTGGGGGAAGCAAAGGGAAATAGAATAGTTGGCCACTTTCTATGTTTCCTGTAAACATTTTTTCCAAACTCTGAGTATCAGTTGCCTGAACTTCTGAAATGTGAATTTAAGATCAGCAGTGAGTACTAGAACTTTGGAATTAGAGAGAGACAGCACACAGCTGATGGCTCCAAGAAAAATAAAGTGATAGAGAACTTTGGTGAGAGTTTGTTACCTTATCCATGAACTGAGACCTATGTGGGCAGACAGGAGATTTGATGTCATGTGACTCTGCTTGATTTAAGGTAAAGGTAACAGATGATAAATTAGCTCTTTCTGCTTTAAGCCAGCTTTTTCCATCTCACAAGCCAGCTGAATCTTGTAAGCAAAAATAAGAGTTATTGCGGAAGTTCTTCATCTTTATAAAAATATATTTATCTACACTTTTTTTCCCAGTGATCTTTCTGTTATGGAATTGCTAGATTTATCTTGCTATTCTTTTCTAAAAAGTCTGCCATGCACTTTTACTGAAATAAAGAATAGAGATTTTTAATGGATAAAATAAAAAAATAATTTGTATGACAAATAAATAGAATTCCTTCATTGGTCTGAAGGGAACTCTGTTCTCTACTTGACCAGCAAAGATAATATATACATTATTTTTACCATTTTTATTATACAGGATAGTGAGGTTTTGATAGGTTCAAAATAATTAGATTCCATATTGTTAATTGACTAGATCATTTATTTATCCTATAACTAGTGAAGAGAATCCAGTTTGTTTGGTATCAAACATAGAGAAGCAAAAAATAGAATAAGAACTTTAAAAGTAAGAGAAAAAAGACCTGTTCAACCTAAAATTTGACGATAAAATAATTTCTAAACCTCCAGTTGTTTTAAATTTAATAACTATATTCTGCTTAAATTCAAGTGATATTACTTTGCATTGCTTTTTCTTATAATATGCTTTTCCAAGAAACCATTAGACTTGATCAAGAAGATAGCATTAGGAGAAATACTTAATGTAGATGATGATTTGATGGGTGCAGCAAACCACCATGGCATAGGTACACCTATGTAACAAACCTGCATGTTCTGCACATGTACCACAGAACTTAAAGTATAATAGAATAAAATAAAATAAAACAAAATGAAGTAAAATAAGATAAAATAATAAAACATAAAACATTCCAGTTAAGTGATCTGGCTTTGGACTTAAATGGACAGGAATTAAAATTCCAACACTGTCATGTTTCCTTCAAATCTACAGAAGTTACTTATTTTTATAAAACACTTATTTTTATTTTTATAAATTAAAAACATTTTTAATGAGCTCTGAGGGCTAATTGAAATAATGTACAAAAACCTCAATTGTTACCCTGGAAATTTTTTAACATTCACTAAAATTGTAAGTAATCTTTGCTGGACTTTACATTTTGGCCAATCAACAAGAGCCAGATCACTGTCACATAAACAGTATGAGGGAAACCTCCTAAATGATTCAATTATCTCCCACCAGGTCCCTCTCACAACACATAGGAATTATGGGAGCTACAATTCAAGGGGAGATTTGGGTGGGGACACAGCCAAGTCATACCATGTAGGTAGGACTTATCACCTATGTAATAATTCCTTAAACATTTTCCTGAACCCATCCATTAGGGAAAAAAATCAGACAAATACAAAATGAAAGATGTTCTGAAATACTGGCCTGGAATCTTCAAAATTGTTAACACAATGAATGACAATGAAAGTCTGGGAAGAGGAACTATTCTAGATTAACGGAAACTAAGGAGACATGACAACTATATAACATATAATCCTTACTGAGTGCTCATTCAAATAAACTAAGACACTATAAATACCAATGTGAAAATTTTACACAGACTGCATGTTAAAAATATGTATCTTATAAAAATGAAATTACCTGAGTGGGATAATTTTATTGGAGTTATATGTGAGTATCTATGTTCTTAGGAGATACATGCTGAATTATTTACAGTAGATGTGATAAGTGTTATGATGTCTGTGACTAACTCTTCAATTATTTAGCAAATAAAAATATAAATGTATTTTATAAGTGCATAAACATATACATGTATGTATATATAAATACATATATAGAGAGATGCATATAGATAGGAGTTAGTTAACTTAAAAAGTGCAAAATCTGAGCAATTGGTGAGTTTAGGTGAAGGGAATATAGGAGGTAATCATAATATTTGGTGACTTTTCTGTGAGTTATAATTTTAAAAATAAAATGTTAAAAATTGAGTAAGAAAATTAATTCAAAAATCTCCATATATTTGAAAAATAAAATTATAATAAAACTTAAAATTGCTTAAATATTTATTTGCTATATATCAATATTGTAGCAAAAAATTGTTTAGGGAAAAAGGCATGGCTTTAATTGAGTATGCAAGGAAGATAGAAAAGGTAAAAGATAATGAGCTAAATGTTTTAGTTAAGACCCTTGAAAAGCACTATAACACAGTCGAAGGAATGAGGAGGAATGAAATAGTAAAAATAAGAGGAAAAAAATATTAATGGAACAGAAACAAAGAACCAAACCAAGACAATACTAAGTAGAAAGAACAAAGCTGGAGGCATCATGCCACATGACTTTAAACTATACTACAAGGCTACAGTAAACAAAACAGCATTGCACTGGCACCAAAACAGATATATAGAACAATGGAACAGAACAGAGGCCTCAGAAATAATGCCACACATCTGCAACCATCTGATATTT